ACTCTGGACGCGTCGCGTTCAACTCGAGCAGCGGTCTAAAGCAGTTTATTTAATCACCAAACGGACACAAGTTTACTTCAAGAATTAACAATTTGGCATGGATGAGTTTGAAGTTTGGTGTTTAAAAAACGGAGCAAACGGAAAGAGAAAGCGCGACCTATATTATGGCTCTATAAATGAAGCACACAGACTTTATTAGAGCCACAGAAAGACAAACGTTTTGCTGAAAATGCACAATACACAATTCATTATGTACATTAACAACGATTCGGGACCAATATAATGTAATTTAAAGGAAACCTATGTGAATGGCGCTCTGTGGCACGGCAGGATTTTCTGTCGGCTGCATTTAAATCCGCGTCTGAAGTTTCCCGCTCTGTTCAGCGTGCAGTATCACGTGTCTAAACAAATAGCACGTGCTGTCAGTGATTTCAACCACTAGAGGCCGCTCTCGCACAGTGTAATGACAGCAGACCCTTCTCAGCCGCTCCAGCAATGGACGCAACCCGGAAAACTATCGGCATGGATTTTTGTCGATAACCGATAGTTCCAGCAATCAACTATCGGTGCCGATTAATCTGCAAAACCGATACATCGGTTGACCTCTACTAACTAATGCTGATGAGAAACTTACTGTAACATTGACAGTGTTTACTGAAGACAAACACACTTACATAAACATGCAAACAAACAGAAAATTCAGCCCAAATATTCTCACCGAGAGAAGCGCACATGCATGAGTCTGTGTAAACAGACATTTACAACACAGCTGCTGTATATGAGAAAGACATCGGTGTTGATCAGTAGAAATGGGTAAAAGCAAACACCACCTGCTCAAACACCTACTCAGCAACTTTTTTCTTCCACCTCTGCAAACAAAAAGTACAATCCAAATTCTCAATCAGCGCTGTGCACATTGTAAGTACATGCATTCAGTGATAATTCCTCATGCTGTCAAAGTCCAGGTGCAGAACCAGAGTTCAGGAGTTGAAGAGGTAATACTCCATCGATTTAACAAAATTACCTGCCACATTTCAAAAGAACAGCAGCAGAAACCATCAGCTGCGAATCATCTCAAGCACTTATGAAAGAGAAATTCCTCTTTAGTGACAGCGGCCGCTGAATCACTGTGGTTCAAGTTCAACCTGAGCTACATGAGTTTTGCTGGGACCCTGCGCTGCAGACCTGCATAAGCTGTTTGCCAGACCACTGTGCTCACCATGTAGCAATTATTCGAAAAATCCTGCACTACAGTTATGCTTTAAAAGTGCACAACTGGATCACGCTCTACTGAATTAAAATTATAAAGCATATTTCCGTTTTGTGAAAATCAGTGAAAGAGAACAAAAGTTGGTGGGCAAATAAACAATCTCCATAAGAAAGGACCTCTGAATTCTTCTGTACTAAGATTTGTGATTACAATTATTTGACAATTATTTCTGCTGTACAGACTTGGTTGCATCTTACCTTCCTGACACATCTGAAGAAACGATGTAAACTAATGAATCCTATAGACAGGGATGTTCACGATGCTTTGGTGTCTTAGAAATCTCAGCAGTACAGACTTTGGCGTCAACTCAATCTTTTTAATTGTCAAGCAGCTATTTGGCATATTTTTTAATTTATCTGAAGCAAGGAAAAGAATGCCTTCACTGCAAAATTGTGAACAATGGCTTCAGTACACAACTTCAGTACACAAGACGTCAGAATTCTAATTTAAATTATAAGGACAGATTTTCAGTTTGATATCTGCAAAAAAAATTACATTCACCAGTGTTAGTAAATTATTAGTGTTATTAAAGAGTGCTAGGTGAGGTTAAAAGTTAATATAAATGTAAAAGTAGGGGAAACAAGCATGTAAATTCAATATCCAAAAAATCGCCAGATATGGTGCTGATATATTGTGCATCCCCCTTTTTTGGAATAGTGTGCACAGATAAATCATCAGAATAAGTGTAGCGAATCAGCTCTTGGGGAAATATGAATAATTAATCATAACTAGTTATAATTAATTATAAATATTTAGATCCGCTGTAGATATTTAGCTGACCTCTCAGGGCCAATTGTCTGTCAATTCTAAGAACGTTAATTTCCTGGTTAAAGGAAATAACTTTCTTACTGTTCAACTCTACACAGAGCTTGTAGCATAAATCGGCATGATTAAGTGACTCCAGTTATGAGCAAACAATGAACAACGTCAAGTGTGATACAAGTAAGACTTTATTAACCACATAAACACTTAAAACTAGTCCAACATACTACATAAACACTTAAACTGGTCTAACATACACACACACACACACACACACGCATATAGTTTGTATAGGAAAGGGTTAAAGCTTAACGCAGTAAAGAGAATAAGGAATGAAGTTATGGAACCATTTGCATATTCAGCAGATTTACAGCCTGAAGGGAACATCAGATTCTTAGTTCAAACACACCTTTGTAAAAAGGTGCAAATGATACCTAATGTATCAATTAATAAGACTAAGTTTGAATACTTGCACGTCTCATCTGTCTGAAAGAGAGGTTTGATGCAATCTGAAG